CGCGTGCCACATGCCCACACGCGTGCCACACGCCGTGTGTGCCTCTCGTATGAACGAAGCGCCTAATGCTGACTGAGCTACGCAGACCGGTTTTGGGGGTGTATGCGCACGAGACTATCAGCCTGCGTATGACTTTGCATTCGTCAGATGTATTCCCGCAGATGTGTCAGACCTCGTATGTCTCTGGTTCGCGTATACGTACATTCCGGATCCTGCAGTGTTGTCCCTGACTTGCGGAGCACGTGTTTAGGCAGCGCCACGGGCTAGCCGTCGCGAAAGCACGCGTGTCTGTAGTCCCCGTGCCAAGCGGAACATCTGGCCTAGCCATGCCGGCTGCGGACATGTGCTTAGCATTCCGCAGTGGCAGTTAGCCTCACGTGAGGAACACATGTCTGTGCTTCCCTTCCTGGGAGAATACGTGCTCTGGCCCATGGACGAGTGTTCCGCGTCTTGGAACGACGTTTATGGACAGCTGTGCAGTAACGAGTCTCCGCGAAGCCCATGCACCTTTCCATGGGATGACGGAATGTCCTGGGCGATTCAGAATAAGGCGAAAGAACCCTGCAATGATAGATGCTGTGAGCGTGGTAGAAACGGTGCTTTAAAAAAGCTTTACGCTGGTACCCTGTCCGTTTTTGTCTTTTTTTTTTTTTGCATCTGATTCGGTGAGAGTGCGGAGGGAAGCTGATGAGAGCACGAAGAAATGCGCGAGATGCGAATGACATGTGCGAAACAAACATGCCAGGTGCTCCGCACGCGAGCAGGCTCACAGAGGCCTCTCAACCATATTTTAGTGGTCTTGTCGGTGGATCTCGACCCATCGTCTCACGGGTTTCGGATGTCACAGCTTGTCTGCTCTTCGCTTGTCTGGTAGCCGCCACCTGGCGTTGGGAGCGCTCCCAGTAGATCGATTGTTGGCAAGCTTGGCTAGTCCGCTGCCCCTGCGTCCAGTGGTTCTCATATTCTTGTGGTATGAAGTCTTCCGCACGTGATCATGAAGTCTTCGGCACGTGATTGTGAAGTCTTCGGCACGTGATCGTGAGGTCTCCCGCAAGTGATTGTGAAGTCTTCTGCATGTGATTGTGAAGTCTTCGGTGCGTGATTGTGAAGTCTTCCGAACGTGATTTTTAAGTCTTCCGCACGTGATCGTGAAGTCTTCCGCGCGTGATTTTTAAGTCTTCCGCACGTGATTGTGAGGTCTTCCGCACGTGATCGTGAAGTCTTCCGCGCGTGATTTTTAAGTCTTCCGCACGTGATCGTGA